TGGGAAGCACAGCCCGCGCGGACGATGGAGAAGTTGGGGTGCGTGTTGGTTCCCTGGGAGCAGTAGGTTGGCAGAGATTTGAGTTGTAGCTGATTTAGGCAGATGTTCTCGGTAAATTCTGGCTGATACCCAGGAATGCTGATAAAACCTTGGACCTTGAGGTTAACGGCTAATATCTTTTCAGTTTTCCCGGTACTACTATAAGAGGAGGGCAGGGTCCAGCATACTCGAAAAGGCTGGGAGACCCCGAGGCAAGGGCCTGGCCCCGGGAGCTGCTGCGCTGTAGTGGCCTGCTTTGTCCGGCACACACACTCGCACCCTGCTCTTGGTTTCCCGCTGCTGCTGGCGTCTCTTGCGTTTTCCCTTGCTGCTGCTTTTCATGCGATGGCCTCCCAGCTCTAGTTACTGAGCACACGCTCTCTCTTTGCGCCCAGAGGTGCCCTAGACACCATGTTCTGTAGTACCCGCCAGCAGCACGTGAGTGTGAGTACAGATGGAGATACCAACCAGAGCAGCGGCCAGCCAGCTCGCTGCCTGCTCGCGCCAGTAAGCCACTATCGGCACGCTCTCCCTCCCCGCGTCCTTTGGCCTTGTGTCACAGCAAGTGAAGGCAGGGGCAGTCCGCTCACACGTAACCGTTTGTCCCTGGACGTGAGACCGTGGCTTTTACCTGTTTGGGGTGTTGAACAGTAAATATGAGCGTGTGGTCCGTATATGTATAATAAGCAGCGCGATGAACGCATATGCTAATGTGCTGGTACTTGCTGCATTGCAGTCTGTTGCACCTTAGATTAAGTGGATCTCTTTCTCCTTGCAATTCCTGCTAAGAAATGCATCCTCGGAGTTGGAGAATTCATGTTGGTGCAGGAAACCTATATACCAGGTCTAGATACCGTTTAAACCCTGCTCTACGTGCTTTCAATGGATAATTAAATGGGGCAAATGGCTGTTTCGTGGTCTCTGCACTTGCATAAAGTCTGTTTCTATTTCTGGGTTTGTTCTGCGGTGTAATAACAAGGATATGTTAGGTACAGATTTTGTGAGACAGTAAATTTGAATGAGGATAAACCGCTTATGCGGACTCGTTCGGGCATTAGGAGTCAGCTCCTCGGGTGCTAGATGAGCCTAATCCATCAAATTCTGTGAGGATACGCTAATTCAGCTCTCTAACCACTAGGCCAGTTGTGGCCTAGAAAAGCAGAGATTTAAACGTGTCAATTGCATCAGTTTAATCCTACCCTTACTCTAACAGGTTTCACTAGGCTTCTGGGAGGCAGGAAAAGCAAGAAGATGTTGTGTGATTTGGGTGGCGGAGGCTGGTACTGTCAATACTGCTTTATTGTTCTAAGTGTGTGAAACTGTGGCACGCGTTCTGGATAAATAAAGGTGGAAAAAAGAGCTCTCCCGACCAATTACCGCACAAATCAAGTGACAGCCTCCCCTGTTAGCTGGAATCATTTGGGTTGTTCCGTAAAAGTGTGAAATGCAAGTCTTTGCATATTTAACATGTCTCTCAATTTTTGTTTCTCATTCCCAGATCTATTATAAAGTTATTAAAGAAATTGAGCCAGGAGAAGAGCTCTTGGCGTATACGAAGGAAGGTGGCTATTCGCTCGGGAACATGGCGCCCAGCATGGAAGGTAAGGCCTTGTTCTGCTAGGCAGGACCTTCTGCACCTCTCGCCAGCAAACCCAGGAATGCTCAACAGCCTGAATGAGTGCTAAACTGCGACAAAAGCCTGAACCTGTCCTCCTGTGTAACGGCTTTGAAAAGTTGCAAACTTTTACGCTTATTTCTACTCTTTTTCCCTGGCAAGCGTAGCTGTCTTAATCAATGATATCAAGCAAGTTTTTATTAACTTCAAGGCGTCCAGCAGATTCATTTACTACTTTTTTTGGAGGAATGTTGTGGTTTTGCGTATGATTGGAGGTGCCTTTCAAATCCCTAGGGGTCACCATGTTTCTTTGAGCATGATAGAAAGAGGCCAAAACGTTCCAGGGCTTTGAGACCACTGCTCTTTAGCACTTTGCGATTACCTGGAGAAGGGGGACCGGGCAGAGGATGGAAGAGTCGTTGCTAGAATTGTTCCCGCAAGAATATAGATGTGTCTGAAACACTGAAATGATGCATGAAGGCTAGAAGAATGATTACAAAAGCAAGCTCACATTTTAATTGCTGCAGTGTCTGTTGTGCCTTGCGGCAAGTTAGTGTGCCAGGATGAGGTGCGCGGCTCAAATAACCTCGCCGAGGGAGAAGTTTGCTTCGTGCATATTGTGTGCGGAGCAAGCTGGAAGAGTAAGTATTACTCTCTTGTTCATATAGTGGCATAACCACTTGCCTCTAAATGCACTGCTATTACTGAAGTTCAGTAATCACATGGCCCGCCTAGAGACCATTTCGCTCTCCTAGCTGAGTGAGTGTTTTCTAGTAAGCTAGGGCAAGGAGCTATGTGCTAAGGTTTTAGGGTTCTCTTATTACCCCCAAACTGTGCTGGGGGAAACTGAAGAGGGCATGCAGAGAAGGATGGAGGAAGAGAAGGACTTGAGTCCTCCTTCCTTTTTATGGTGCACAAAGCGGGCTATAAAGTAGTTTTTAACAAAGAGTAAAAAGCACAGGGGTTTCTGCTTGTAATTCTGTTAGACTTTTGAAGGGTTCAGGTTTAATTTTAGTTTCACAAAGCAGAGAAACATTTGGTTATTGAAGAGTAAGAAAATTCAGAGTTCTTACAGTAAGGTGAAAAAATAAAAATCCAACCCAGGGGTTGGGGAAGGAAGGCACAGAGTGAGCGCGTTCAGTTCAAGAGACTGTCCAAGGACGGTCGTTCCCTAGGGGGGCAGGCTGCTACTCACCTGCTCCTCGCAGAGTCCTTGATGGTTTTCTGGAGTAGCTGCTGCGGGCTCTTGTCAGCAGCAGGAGAGCAGCAGGGTAGGAGGACTCGTGGCCTGCACCAATTTGGCAACCTCAGAACGTCTCAGAGACGAGCACCCTGCGTAGGGGAAACATCTCTTAGGAAAACCGGCCAAGACTCGCTGCCCCGTGCCCAAAAACATTCAAGTAAAAAACGAGACAACGACACAGGCATATCAAAAGGAATGAAACATTATACTAAAGTTCTGATTTTAAAGTGGTCATTTGCAAGTCCTTTTCCTGAAGTGAGTTCGAAACCTTCCTCACCAGAACACTGTGTGAATCTAACCTAATGTGCAGTACGTCATGATCCTAAAATGAAAGTCAGTCCGGCCTTGCAAAGTTCCACTGTATTTTATGTGGTTCTTAGTTTCCTTGACATTTGGTGACAGCGAAAGTTAGAGAACAATATAAAAGGTACATGAATGATCTGAAATGAAGAGATTGTTGGGGTATACTATTTATGTCTTTTTCTTTTCTTTCATTGCATGTAGAGCTTGTTTCAGTTTTCTTATTATAATTTGCTGACTGTTGTCTACAACTATATTCTCATCTATCAGTTCTTTTTTTTAAGTATTTGTTGCAAATATGGCTTTGCATAATTAATTGCTGAAAATTAAGTTACTTCACCTGGACATCCTAATGTAAGTGTAAAATAAATACATTGCTTTTCTTTTACCTGTAAACGCATATAATTTGCAGATTCAGATTTGCAGTGGTACTCTAGGATTATAGATACGAAATGTACTTTTTGCACTTAGTCTGAAATCTTTGTCTAAAAATGGATAGTTTGAGGATTAGTGCTAGCGAAAGCTCTCTTGCTGGAGGTCCATGTGTTAGACGAATGAACGGGCAGTGCAGGAGCTGCTGAGATGTCAGGTTTGGAATTATTTTTCCAGTGTTCTCTCAAAAAACTTAGTAGTTTTCTTGACTACAGACATGAATAATTTCTGTATTCACAGTGATGGGAATAACACGTATCTTTTTTGATGTCGGGGAGAAATCGGAAAGAAAACTTACCATTGCTTTGCATTTCTGTTTCTAATTGTCTTTTTTTGGAACAAGCAAAAAGAGCTGTTGGTTACCTGTATTACCCCACCTTTGTCATTATATACCATTTATCTGTATCTTCCTGGTTATGTCTAGTGGTTTTGCCACCTAATTGCTTTCAGATTATAATAGGCCAACATTAAATATTTGACTTCTTAATACTTTTTACTTCCAGTAAAGCTATCTTCCTGCTGCTTCACCTCCCCCATTTCGATTCTGAATTAACAGGAAAGAGAATGCGAAATTGTTCCACACAAAGATAATTATCATAAAAATCTTTTATCCGAACCTCAGCCAAACACAGCGGACCCCTTATCACTGCAGGAATTTTGAGTAGGGCTCTTGAACTCCTTTGAGATTCGAGTCTGGTAGATTAGCATGTAGATGCCACATAATTGTGTTCCCCTTGGTTTCTCTGAAAGCTATTA